ACCTGCCCCGGGTCCAGCATCACCCCCAGCCAACCCTCCACTGTGAGGATCCCCAGCTCACGAACAGATCCCTCTCTGGGCTCTCTGGGGAGGGCTTTTTGAGTCAGCTGGTGTTTGTATCGCTGCAGTGAACAGACAGGTCTCGCCTGTCTCTATGTGGCCAGGAAGATGGGGACCCTGTGCAGGCAGGAGCACCAGGAGCCACCCCCCTGCCCGGCGCAGGCAGCCCCCAGCAGCCACCACCAAAGTAAGTCTGCAGCTCATTGGGGACAGAGACATCAACGTGCCTCAGCCCTGACCATGCTGGGGATGGAGGGGCCAGGGCTCCCCCAGGCTCACAGGTTTGGGGTGGGGGGTACCTCCTGTTGCTACCCACTGCCTCAGGCAAGCTGCTCTCCTGTCTGCAGGGGAGGTGTGCTGGGTCCCCATCCCTCCTTTGCCTGTGCCCCAGGGACCATAGTCTTCCTCAGAGCCAGGTGCTTTGTCTGAGGAAGAACCACAACAAGTTGAAGTTGCAAAAGTTTCTTTTCTTTCCTTCTTTCTCTTCCCTCACTGGGTTTTGCCTTTAAATCTCATGACTGCATCCCATCTCCTGTGCCAGAGAGGATGAGCAAATAGCAGGTTTGGGGAGGAAGGACAGACTTACCCACTGGAGGAGTGAGTGGATGTCACTTGCTGAAGCACCACTTCCCCAAGAGCTACATCTCCCTGGGGCAATCTGTTATTTCAGGCGCCCTGCTAAATACCAAAACACATCCCCACGCACCCCAGCTGGCACTGAGACATTTCTGTCCTTGCTGCTGATCTTCCCCAGCCCCTTCCTGGCCCATTTAAAACACACAAATCACCATGACTTTGCAGATCACTCATGTGATGTCCCTGAGAGCAGCTGCTCATCTCAGCCATCCCAGATTTAGGTACAGTGAGGACCTTTCTGGCTCCTTGTCCCTGTCCCAGCCATGGAGGCTGCTCCTGGCAAGGAGAACTCACCAGGAAGCTGCTCCTGCATCACCCACCCCTGCTGCTCTGGTGTTAAACCTCCCTAATCAAAACCAAATCATTTTTGAACAGCAGACAGAAGAATCTCAGCATGGGAAAGATCTGCCCCACCAATACCAGTTTCACTGGTTCAGCTGAGTCACTCCTGGTTGCTCTTGTGCAAACATGCCCGGAGCTGCACCCAGGCATCAGCATTCTGGGGCAGCTGCCACAGCAGGCTGATCATGCCCCGTGGTCTCCTACCTCTGCCAGGAGCTTAGAGCTGTCACAGGAGACACGTAGGGAAGATGAACAGCTGAGCCATTCCATTTCTGCTGCTCCCATGTGCTGCTTGAGAGGGAAGGAAAGGGAACTGGGCGCCTAAGGAGTCCTAGAAAATCTCCAGCATATCTCCTTTCCCCTAGAATAACAGCTGGATCCTTAATGGGAGGACGAGGTGAGGGAAAGGGGATGTCTCCTTTCACTCATACCTTAATTAAATGCAGATGAAGGAAAAGCAGAACATTAGTCATCTGGTCTGCAATGAGAGCCAGGACTTTGCAGAGGCCCCGAATGGGAAGATCAGGGCAGGCACTTGGGTGTGTTAGTGAGAGGAATCCAACTCCTCCTTGGAGCAAAGAATTTCAGCTCCTTCTCTGCAGTTAATTGCCGGGTGTTTAATCACCATCAGGGGAGCTGCCCTGTTGGCACAACCAGAGGGTCTGGCCCAGTGCCTTTCTGGCAGGTCAGGCACACCAGTCCCTTGGCTGGTGGATGTTCCCTGGTCCCTGTGGATGCTCCAGAGTGAGGGGCAGTGGTGGGTGCACCTCTTTGGCACGGAGCAGCCCACAGCTGTGAGATCTGGGACACCCCAGGGAAAGCTGGCCTGGGACAGGACAAGAGGAGTTCAGCAGAGCACAGAGGGATGATCTGGAGGGATGGGTGGTGTCCAGGTCACAGCTTGGAAACTGTGGAGCTTTATCCCCTGTTTGCAGCCAGCTGGGCTCTGCCAGAGAGCTCTCTGTGTCATAAACCCACCCCGACTCCCTCGCACTTACCTAACGCTGCTCACAGTTCCCATCAGGAGGTTCCCCGAGCACCTTGCCAGTTCACACCCCAGCCTTGTACCTTCAGCAATCATCTTACCCCTCGGCTAATCCTGAATCCTCCTCTTTCCTCCAACGCTTGTGCATTTGCAGATGTAAAGGCAGAGGTATCGGCAGCTCCCCAAGCAAGAGCCTCACTTCCCAGGAACAACAACCCCATCCAAGACCAGCCCTGCAGATCCTGAGGGTAAAAGCCCTTGTGGTCCTCCCCTGAAGGCCACAAGCTTTCTTCCTACCAGTTTCCCCATCTGTTTGCTGGAAATCCTGCAGCCCAGGGATAGGAAAATATCAGCAAATCCCTCCTGCTCTCAACACAGAAGCACAACAATAGAAAACGTCCCAATCGGCCTCTTGTTACCAGAATTTTCTAACTGGCAGAGAAAAAAAAAGATTTCCCATGTGTGTCAGCTGCTCCTGGTACTTTTGGGCCCTGGAGAACCAGTGGAAGAGCATGAGCCATTGCATCTCAGCAGCAAATCTGATTTTCATACTGTGAAACCAAATTGTGCTCCCAGTGACATTGACACACACTCAGACAATTTCCACGAAGGTAAAACCAGCTCCTGAACTCCAACAAGGAGTCTTAGGGCTTAGGTCCTGTGGAAATCCCATGATGTTTTGTACTAAGTCCTCCTTCTCCATGCCCAGTAAGCTGGGGAAGCTGTCCTTACTGGGCAGAGGGCTGCAGGGATCACTGTCAGACCACCCCCCCTCCAGCAAACCCTGCTCGGTCACAGAGCAATGACAGCAGAATCACAAACCCCACACACATGGGGAGGAATCTGTCCGACCCTTTCCTGTGACAGCTGAACCACAAATAAAGGTGGATGACAAAAGGCTGGTTGGGAGCCTGGTGGTTTTTCTCCTGGAAGGGGTTTGCTCTCACGATAGTGTTTGAACAGACTGATGCTCTGGATCGTATACTGGCAGCACCAGGGCTTGCTGCTGAGGCTTGCCTTGGTGCTCTTGTAGGAAGAGATGGATCTTATCATGGAATCATAGACTCTTGTGAGTTGGAAGGGACCCACAAGGATCATCAGTCCAACCCCTGTCCCTGCACAGGACAATCCCAACATTCACACCATGTCCCTGACGGCCTTGGCCAAATGCTGCTGGAATCTTGTCAGCCTTGGTGCCATGAGCACCTCCCTGGGGAGCCTGTGCCAGTGCTCCACCACCCTCTGCCTCAAGAACCTTTTCCTCATGGCCAACCTCACCCTCCCCTGCCACATCTTCCTGCCATTCCCTCTGCTCCTGGCATTTGTTGGTGGCCAGAGAGAAGAGATCAGCGCCTGCCCCTCCTCTGCCCCTTGGGAGGAAGTTCTAGACCGTGATGAGATCTCCTCTCAAGTCTCCTCTTCTCCAGGCTGAACAAACCAAGTGCCTTCAGCCCCTCCTCATACAGCTTCTTCTCTAAACCCTTCACCAATTTTGTGGCCTCCTCTGGACACTGTCATTAGCTTTATATCCTTTTTATACTGGAGCATCCAAAACTGCACCCAGTATTGTGACAGAAAGCACAGGGGAGGGAGCAGAGTCATCCCACACCCCTGGGGAGAGCTGACTGTAAGCTTCTGGGGCTCCAGGGCTCAGCCTCTTCCTGCCACCCTGAGCCATGGTTCACCCTTCAGTGCTGTAGGACTTTAATTACATGAGGTGGAGACACGTGGTAGCAGGATGGGATGCACAGAATTGATGGATGCACACAAGTTCCTGGCTCTGTGCAGGGCAGGTGACCCACGCTGAGCTTTGTTAAGGTGGGAGAGACACAAGCCCTTGTCTGGGTGTCTCTGCAGGAGATGGGGGGGGTGGGAGGAAGAGGGGTGTGCTGGAAGGCAGAGAACAGACCCAAATCTTCCAGGCACACTCAAGCACAGCAAGGCTGGAAAACACAAACCTTAGGACTCTTTATTCAGACTATTGCCACTTCAGGGGAGAGAGGAGGACACCAGCAGTTCCTGGGTCACACAGCAGTTCTCCATCCATGGGCACCCCCTGAGCACACAACATTTTGTAGGCTTACAGCACTTCATTGTCCATTCCCTCACGGACTCCACACAAATTCTGAAGTCTCTTGCTCACCACCTCAGCTCTCACATGCTGAGAGGAAATGGAATGGGGAGAAAGGAGGAAAAACAAAGGCAATGAGCCTGTCCAAAAATGGAGTAGAAAGGGGAGCATGAAAAGAGCCATGCTCCAGGATGCCCTACCTAATGCCCTGTGCCTTTTTTAAGGCTCAGTCCCATGGATCATCAAGGGGATCATCAATCCCATGGATTATCAATCCCACCATCCTCCCAGGGAAGGCAGCAGGTACTGAGTATTGTCCCAAGCTGGTTCTGAAACTGAAAGTTTGCCAAGACATCAGCTGAGACATCGTCCACGTCTGTCCCAGGACAAAGCTCAGTTACTGACAACTACGTGACACAAACATAACCCAGAGCAAACATCACATTTGGAACACTGCTATGCGCAGATTTGCCCTGTCTTCCTTGTACTGAAACCCCCCCCCAAGTACGTCATTTTGAAGTCATGGGGTCCAGAGCAAACATCACGTTTGGAACACTGCTATGCACAGATTTGCCCTGTCTTCCTTGTACTGAACCCCCCCTCCCCCCAAGTACGTCATTTTGAAGTCATGGGGCTGTCACCTGCAGGTATTCCCTGTGCCCCTGGCTAAAAGCAGTGGGAAATGGCCCAAGGGAAGCTCCAGGTTGTCCCTGGATTGTTTCTGGAAGGTCTCAACGGTAGGTAGCTTTCTGGAGAGCGTTTTTGCGTGTTTTATTAGAGTCATATTTCCACGTTTTCATCTGGATAAGTCCAGGATGAGCAATTGCAGCCCTTTTCTCTGCCCCATGGCTTCTTCACACTGGTGTGTACGGACAGGTTATTTCAGTGTTTCCCAGCCCACTCCAGTCACCTGCCCGTGAACCAGCTCTGGTGTGGGTTGAGTGTGGTGGTCTCGATGAACTTGCAGAGACATGGCACATTGCTGTGCTCCAGGTGCCCCCCTGGCACAGCCTGAGGGAGCCGGCCAGTGACCAGGAGCCGGACATAGCATCCACTGAAGATCACCAGGAGCTGCTGGGCCATCACCTGGAACGAGCACAAGAGGTGTCAGAGCAGAGCATCTACCTGTGGGAAGAGTGGATGATACATCACACACCATTTGTTCCCTCATTCAAGGACTGTCCTTGTCTGAAAGAAACAGGAGAGGAGCCAATGGCATATGTAACTGTCCCAGATCCCCTTCTGGTCAGCAGAGCTGGCACACGGTCTCCACAAGGGACTGACATGAAATGACCACTCAGTGGTGGGTGGCCAAAGAGCCAGGCTGCTTGAGGACCTGTCTGCTCTGCCAATGCCTCCTGCTGCTTGTTTTTGCTGTAGACAGCCAGAGAACTTCAACCTGCAGGGATGTCACCTGCACCGAATTCGCTTAGTAACAGCGAGGGGAAAACTGCAAAATAAATCAAAATCATCCCTTTTGAAGCTTCTTGCTGAGCAGGAATTAGGACACATTTTTTGCTCAGCATGGCACAAGTCTTTGAAGCCACGCTCCACAGAGGGGACAAAGGCTGGGCACGTCCATGCCTCATCCCCAGCCCTGACAGAGGTGTTGGGTCCCTGGGAGAGGCTGCTTGCCAAACAGGGACCCCCGGCCACCAGCCCAATCCCTGAATCCCTCAAGGATTAAGCACTAGCTGCTCAGTCAGCATTAACTGCCCAGCAGTGTCAGGGCTGGAGGAGGTGTGTGTGGACCTCCAGGCTTCCAGGTGCTTTTACTGGTGAAAAAGGAGGTGTCCCCATGGCTGGCAGCTGCTGGGATGAGTTCTGGAGTCAAGGTGCCTGGGGGAGGTGATTCAGCACCTCTGTCCATCAGGGAGGGGTATTTCTCATTACCTCTGGTGGGCCCTCAGGAATAAGGTGGAGCAGCTCATTGCATGTCACCACTGCATGCTCTTTATTTAGGTTCACTCCACTGGATAAAAGAGGGGATTCTTCACGTGAAGCCTCCTCCTCATCCATCCCTGGGTCAGGTCGAACCACTGCCTCCATAACCACACAGAGCTGGTCCAGGCTGTGCCGCAAGACTGACTGGAAGAGAATGAGATTTTGGGGTCTCCAAAAGCAGGCAGCAGCAGTGTCTGTTGTACCCCCCTCACCTCACATCCCACAGCTGTGGTCAGCAAGGACAATTCAGTGCAGGAGAGCTGATGTTTGTATATTGATACACCCACATAGAGGAAAACATTTTCTAAAGGCCAGGAGGATAAAATTCTTACACAGTTAACCCAGTACAGTGTTTACTGATTCCTCAGGCTATCCCATTTATTTCGGGAGGACAGCTCAAGGTGTCAGCTATTTCAGGTTGTGACACATGCTTTCAAGATTTGCCCTTGATTCTCAATGACTTCCCTTTATTAAAATTGTCCTGTTAATTATCCAAACATGCAGGTACCACAGGACCCAAACAAATTCCTGCT